CCAGGAAACTCTTATCAACCCTTCAAGACACACCTCAAATATTACCTCCTCTGTGATGCCTTCCCTTACCTCCAACAGTTCAAGTTGCACACTTCCTCCTTTGTACCCCTACTATCGATTAGAATCCCTACCACTTTGTACTATGTTTAACTTCTTTACATTTTTGTCTCCCCCCTGGACCTGGAGTTGCTTGACGGCAAGGACAATGTCATTTATATATGCATAATTGTGTTCCCTACTACCAAGTGCTCTGAGCATGACAAATAGTAGGTATACAGCAAGCATTTATTGAACTGAAACACTGAATATATACTATTGCTGGCACCTTCATAGATTTTGTGGAACATGCAAAAGAATATGCCTTCATTGAAGTAGTCAGGAATGTAGACTCTGGAGCTAGAAGCTTGACTCCAATCCCATTTCCACCACTTACTGGCTTGGGAACTTAAAATATTACTTAAACTCTCTGTGCTTCAGGTTCCTTATCTGTAAGATGGGAGATAATCGTGGTAACTGCCTAAAAGTGAGTATTAATTTAAATAATGTATACAAAACATTTAGTACACACAGTATCCAGGACAGAATAGGTGCTGAGTCTCACCTTATTTATAAATTAATGAAATAATTAGAGTCACAAAATTTATATGCATGAAAAACAAAATACTGCAAATATATCACTACATAGAACTGTTTAAAGTCCCTCCTGAACCAAGATGTTGGAGCACTATGACCTCAACAAAGCATTGCTGAATGAATGAATGAAGTTAAAAAAAAGCCACAGCATAATAAATGTTCGCCTGACCATTGTGAGAGTACTGTGTTCACTTCCGAACATTATGCTTTAAGAGAAACAAAGAATAACTAGAAGCATACCAGTAGAATTCTCCAAAATCTAAAAAGTATCTAATAAGAATGAAGAAAATGAGAATAGTTAGGTAGAGGGACACATTATTGCTGACATCAAACATTTGAAAGTTGTCATGTGTAATCAAGGGGAGCTCTGCTTGATGCTGCCGTAGACAGCAGAACTTGGGCCAGAGGATAAAAGTTATAGGCAGGTGATTTTAGCTGAACATAGGAGAGTATTTGCTGAAAGTCAGTGTTCACCATGCAGGTGAGGAAGTGGTAAGTTTTCCATCTGTGGAGATACTCATTAACTGAACACACACCTAACAAGGATACTGTCAAGGGGACTTTTTCATTGGGCTGGGGGTTATTCTAGATGGACTTTGGAGTGAGTTCTTTGCAGGAAGTTGAAGATCTGGACCTTTCAGGGAAAGAATAGTGTCACTATATTTAAATTAGTTCTCAAAGTGATAATCTCAAAGAAGCCAAAATGCTCTCAAAATCAACATCCCCATAACTTTCCCATGACCAGCTCACCCCTGTGCTTTTACATAAAATTTCCACTATAGCCACTTTTTGGACTGCTCATTCAAGGTCCCTGTTAAAATATGATTTTTTTCTAGAAGTATAGCTTTAAGCCACTCAGCCATTATCATCAGCTTCTATTATACTGCCTGGTATATAGTAAGAATTATTTATTGAATGTGTTATCAGTCATTCACACCTTAGATCATACAAATTTACCAGATTAAATTTACTTGCCTTAGAAAGGCCCTGAAGAGATAGAAATCTAGACAGATAAGTTTAGAAAACTGTGAGAGGTAACAAGGGTTTTACCATTTAAGCTTTAGTCTTCATGACACACCGTACAGGCCATGAACAGATACCATGACCCTCTGAAAGTACTGATTTTTTCTTAGGTGGAAAGCCAGCCTTTCCTCCTCACAGATGAAGTCCTATGCTGGGCAGCAATCTGGGATGGGATTTGTCAAAGCCACTTTGTGCCCTGGCCTTCTGCCAAGTCCATCGATTTAGCCCTTTAAATCGCATAATTTAAGCCCACAAATGTCACAGATTCTATTAGACAAACTTCTCTGGCCAGCAGCAAAGAAAAGAGAGAACATGATAAGCCTTCTAAGACCATTCTTAATCTTTCATGGTTGGAGAACCGCATTGCCAGTGGGGTTCACTGGCAGAATGCCATTAAATACTGACAGGTGTTGTTTCTTTAGTTAAGAATATGCCTTGAGGCTTAGCTTAGGTTAATGGCAGATGAGTGCATCTGCCAAGTATAAAGGTAAAGGGTAATGGGGAAAAAACTTCCAAGTAATATTTCCTTAAAAGATACCAGAAACTCCATCACTCACTACTTGTTCTGAGAATAATGGCAGAGTAGACCTAACAGTAAGTATGCAGAGAAAGGATTGGCCTCTTTAGCTGAGGCTAAAGTGAGGTTCAAGTGGCTGCAGCTGTGAGGATTGGAACAGGGCAAGGAATTAGGCAAGTCATTAGACATCTATATGAGTCTGCATGTCTACAGACAATGGAGGAAACCCATTTTTACATTATTCTCTATTCGTAGTACAGAGGTGGGCATGACTACTTAACAGATTTCCAAGGCTGGATACCAGACCTCTCCTTTACCCTCCATCATATCATCCCTGTTCTTTAGCCAGACAACATTGCTTTAATTCCAAAGTAACTTTCCCAATGAAGGAATTCATGTTAACATATTACTAGTTGTTAACCACGTGATTTATTATTTCATCCAGGGGTAGTTTTGGAAATGTAGTCCCTTAAAGCAAGAGTGACTCTAATAGTACAATCTTAGGCAAACCTTTGTAGATTTCTTTTTCTAAAGAGGAATGCTATGAGGCCTCTTATAACAGAGCCCGATGGAAAATTACATAGATCAGACTAATTCCAAATGCAAAAGATGAAAATTAAAACTGGACTTTAAAGTGACTATATGTCATCCAATTATACTTGCCTCAAGTTACAAATTATCATGATTTTACTGTTGTCTCTCTTCACTACTTTAACCCATGCGTCTGGCATATAGTGAGAATCAATGAATGGTACTGCTGTGGCCTTCATTATGATTACTAGTAGAAGCAGTGGTAGTAATAGTGCCATTCTAGTACCTAGCACCATGCCTGGGCCATATTAACTATTCAAAACTAAGGATTATTTTTATATCTTTATTGCCCCAGCTTCTGGCATAGTGCCTGGCACATAATAGGGCACCGATTGAGTTAGTTTCCTTCATTCCCACCTTTCCCTGGGATACATATTATTCTGCTTCCCCCACAACTGTGCCTTACTAAAGGGGTTGCAGATCTCCCTGTAGCAGTACCACCACCAGTGACACCATCTGAAAGGACATCTAGCCTTTTCTTCCATGGTAGCCTCTTAAGTGGCAAATGGACAGCAAGTGTTCAAGACCATTTTTCAGATGAGGATACCAAGATTATGAGTGGTTACCTTGGAATTTTAGCTTACCTCTAATCCCTATGTCCTATTAAAATGCAACAAGACTGCACTCACATTTTCATGCTTAATTCATCTTCCAAGGATTAGCTTAAGTATCATCTTTATGAAACTTTCTCTGAGACCTCCAGCCTTCACTGAGCAGGGCTGTTTTGTTTCCTATCCTCTCCCCGTGGCTAGAAGAGTGCTATTCTATTTTTTCTACTTGAAAGTAGTGAACGAAAGTATCAGTGCTTCTTGAGGCAGTAAAACAGCACCCTGTTTTCTTGGGCTCCAGATATGGAGAGAAATTTGTCATTCGGGCCTGCTCAGGGCAAGAGGCAACACTCATCTTCAAATGCTAACTTCCGAGAAGGTCACAAGCACATGAGTTGCAAATACCACTTGATATAAGATATGCCTCCCCCTTTGCCAAAGCAGGAATGTCATTACCTGGAAGACTGAGGTAAATGTTTGTGGAAGCTTCATGTCTTCATCTTTTCTGACATCCAGAAGGTGAGACAAGAGGCTCTTTATCACATTGCCAGGTACTTTAGCTGGCAAAACAGTTAAGTAATGCAAGACACTGGAATAGGTCCATTCTAACTCAGCCTCCAGAGAGGCCTGGAGGCCTCAGGGATGAGAGGGAAAGTGGAGCCAATCACCTAGTAGATCTGAACCTCGTTTTCTCCCTTGGGGAAGATCATCATTCCCATTTCACAGGGATACAACAGGGAGCTGATGAGGAATGTGTATAAATTTGACCTGTAAACTATGAGGCAACTGCTCGATACTGTGATTCATTCTATGCAATTGAAGACAAAGTCTGTCTTTTCACCTTCATCTCTAGAGAAAGTTTAAACACATTGTAGGAGCTCAGTAACTAGGTTTTTACTTTAAAACTAATTCTATTAAATATAACCTGGATTTAGGTATGATACAAATAAAACAGACCATCAACTTCTCAGAATTTAATCAAACAGATTCTCAGATCTGTTAGCTTTTGGTTTGAAATGGCAGAGGAAAAATTCATGAGAGGGCACAGGGGGTACCTGCTTACCTTTTGCAGTTGGCTTTGGCCTATTGGAGTAAAAATACCCCTTCCCCCAGTGAGCAGCAGCAAGAAGCAAGGTTGCAGTTAGCACTGAAATAGGATTTCAATCCAGGGTGTGCATCTGGGGCAGTTACAAATGTAATCTTGCAAATCTGCACAACACCACAGACCTAGAGCCTGAAGGAAATTGGCCAAAGATGATCTTCAAATTTGCATCACTAATCAGAGGTGTTACCAGTAGTATTTTCAGGCACCAGAAGAGAAGGAAGGTAGGAACCAGCTTATGCCACATCTTAGGAGGTTTACCCTGTGCCAGTTACTAACTGATAACTGCTAGTAATATTATTAAGATTGATAACCTTAGTAATAATAAATAAAGCACAGAGGGCTTGAGTAACTTATTGAAGGCCATAGAACTGGGAAGTCATAAAACCAGGATTTAAGTCCAGGTCTTTATGACCCCAACACCTGGGCTTTTTCTGTTATACTTCTTTGTGAGAGGAAAAACGATGGTGTCATTGAAGTCATTTGGGATTTTTCAACTCCTTAGCAAGACTGCCTCCATAATTGTCCACTTGAGATCTCCAGGTATCTAAGGATATTTTTGGTCTTTCTCTGTTTCCTCACTCAGTTTTCCAAATTGCTATGAACCATGGCCCAACTGTACTACAAAAAGGTCAACTACTCACCGTACAGAGACCGCATCCCCTTGCAAATTGTGAGGGCTGAGACAGAGCTCTCTGCGGAGGAGAAGGCCTTCCTCAACGCTGTGGAGAAGGGGGACTATGCCACTGTGAAGCAGGCCCTTCAGGAGGCTGAGATCTACTATAATGTCAACATCAACTGCATGGACCCCCTGGGCCGGAGTGCCCTGCTCATTGCCATTGAGAACGAGAACCTGGAGATCATGGAGCTACTGCTGAACCACAGTGTGTATGTGGGTGATGCATTGCTCTATGCCATACGCAAGGAAGTGGTGGGCGCTGTGGAGCTTCTGCTCAGCTATAGGCGGCCCAGTGGAGAGAAGCAGGTAAGAGAAATTCCTACAGACTGAGAAATAGCCAGGCACAACAGGGCACCAGGTCAGAAGCGCTGAAACTAGGGAAGGTTAGGTGGTCTGGAATTGAGAAGCTCAATCTCACAAATGGCACCAGTGATCTCAGGTAGCATCCTAGAGCTACCCTACATGGCCCATGCCGAGTTTTCCTCATTTACCTTTTCCTTACTTGTGTTTGCCCATACTTAGCAACCTAATGGTACGTTCTTTGTTTCCAGAATATTCAAGCCCCTTCTAACCTTCATACATCCTGCTTTCTATCTTCAGTTTCCGCCTGTACTCACGGGTTATATTCTAGAAAAGGGGAGACAAAATACAGACTTGGGCTTTCTGCTTCACATCAGTCTCTCTCCTTAAGCCAATACAGGAGGCTTTTAAACTTGAGCGCCGTGGTGCAAATACTTACGGATATAAGGCCTCATATATTTTTCCAGCACCTGTCAAGTGACTACACTCCACCTCCAGATGTTTGGGTTTTTGCCTCTGGGATTCTCATATCATCCAAGGCACCTAGGTGTGATACTCTGGGGTCATCTTTTATTTGTCTGACTCTCTTGTCCCCATATCCAATCCCCAAGTCCTGTGGTTCCTTCCTTCCAAATATCTTTCACAAACTTTCTCTCCTCTCTAGTTCATCTTTCACCAGTCTGGCTCTGGTTCCCAACATCTCTCTGTTAGATGAATGGTCCCTAAAATATGGTCCCTTGACTGGCAGCATCAGCATTACTGGGGAACTTGTTAGAAATGCAAATTCTCAGGCCTCTACCACAGTCCTATTGAATCAGAAACTCTGAGGTGGGGCCCCAACAAGCCTTCCGGAGGATTCTCATGTACAGTCAAGTTTGAGAACTGCTGTCCTAGACTAATATAAAACTCTTCTAAACTGGCTTCCTTATCTCTAGCATGTTCCCCTCTCTCAAGAAAACCTGAGCAATAATTCTGCCTTATTCTCCCTAAAATAGCATTATAAGCTTGTCGTTCCTGTACATCCTTTTGCAGCTTCTTTTCTGCTGTCTCAAAGTTCACTGAAAATGAACTTACAATAGGCAAATTAATAGGAGAAAAGGGCATACAAAATGTATGAACATGCACATGGACATGGAAACCATACACAAAGGCTGAAACTCAGAGAGGGCAGATGTTGGAGACATAAATAGTCTCTTCATAGGGCAGAAATGTATGAAGTAGACATTGTTTTATAAATGATTCTCTTTGGATGCTGCCAGCAAGTTAAGGGAAAGTGAGGGATGGAACTGCATAAGAACTAATGTTGTCTTTTTTATTTTAATTTCCATAGGTTATTGGAGAGCAGGTAGTTTTTGGTTACATGAGTAGGTTCTTTAGCAGTGATTTGTAAGATTTTGGTGCACCCATCACCTGAGCAGTATACACTGCACCTATTCGTAGTCTTTTATCCCTCACCGCCTTTTCTTTCCCCTTGAGTCCTCGAAGCCCATTGTCATTCTTATTCCTTTGCATCCTCATAGCTTAGCTCCCACTTATGAGTGAGAACATACAATGCTTGGCTTTTCATTCCTGACTTACTTCATTTAGAAAAATGGTCTCCAGTTTCATCCAGGTTGCTGCATATACCATTAATTCATTCCTTTTTATGGCTGAGTAGTATTCCATTGTATATATATGCCACAGTTTCTTTATGTACCTGTTGACTGATGGGCATTTGGGTTGGTTCCACGTTTTTGCAATTGTTAATTGTGCTGCTATAAACATGCATCTGTAAGTATCTTTTTCGAATCATGACTTTTTTTCCTCTGAGTAGATACCTAGTAGTGGAATTGCCGGATCAAATGGTAGTTCTACTTTTAGTTCTTTAAGTAATCTCCACACTGTTTTCTACAGTGGCTGTACTAGTGTACATTCCCACCTGCAGTGTAAAAGTATTCCCTGTTCACCACATCCATACCAACATCTACTATTTTTAATGTTTTTAATTATAGCCATTCTAGCAGGACTGAAGTGGTATCTAATTGTGGTTTTGATTTGTACTTCCATGATTATTAGTGATGTTGAGCATTTTTTCATATGTTTGATGGCCATTTGTACATCTTCTTTTGAGAATTATCTATTCATGTTCTTAGCCCACTTTTTGATGTTTTTTTTTTTTCTTGTTTATTTGCTTGAGATTTTCATTGTAGCCTTTGGATATTAGTCCTTTGTCAGATATATAGATTGGGAAAATTTTTTTCCCACACTGTGGGTTGTCTGTTAACTCTGCCGACTGCTCCTTTTGCTGTGCAAAAGCTCTTTAGTTTAATTAAGTTCCAGCAATTTATCTTTACTGCATTTGCTTTTTGGTTCTTGGTCATGAAAGCCTTGCATAAGCCAATATCTAGCAGGGTTTTTCCAATAGTATCTTGTAGAATTTTTATAGTTTCAGGTCTTAGATTTAAGTCCTTAATCCATCTTGGGTTGATTTTTGTATAAGGTGAGAGATGAAGATCCAGTTTCCTTCTCCTACATGTGGCTAGCCAATTATCCCAGCAGCATTTGTTGAAAAGGGTATCCTTTCCCTACTTCATGATTTCTTATTATTCAGATAAAGTCCCCTAGGTAATCTCTTCCAGCTACCCTCAGAAAAATACATGAAAAGTCCATCTAGGCAAGGTGATGACTGCCAGTCTTTTCTCCATGGTTGATCTTTCTTGGTTATTTGATTAGATTTCTAGGGAGGCAGTCTTAATACAATTGCATTTCTTTTGGAAAGATGCTTTTTTAGTCAGATAAGAAAGTTCCAGAAAGTCCCTCAGTATCCTTAAAAAGGATCAGAGAGACAAAGAGGTACAGAAAAGTCAGAAAGAGAGCTTGGTTCTGAGGCTTATTTCTGAGGCCTTTCCTTTTCTTTTCTTTTTTTTTTGAGATGGAGTCTTGCTCTGTCACCAGGCTGGAGTACAGTGGCACAATCTTGGTTCACTGCAACCTCTGCCTCCCAAGTTCAAGCAATTCTCCTGCCTCAGCCTCCCGAGTAACTGGGACTACAGGCGCATCCCACCACGCCCGGCTAATATTTTGTATTTTGGTAGAGACAGGGTTTCACCATGTTGCCCAGGCCAGCCTGGAACTCCTGAGCTCAGGCGATTCACTTGCCCCAGCCTCCCGAAGTGCTACAATTACAGGCATGAGCCACTTACCCAGTGGCCTTTCCACTTTTCAAAGGACTCAGATGCTTAAGTGCCATATTTTAGGAAATTATTTTCTGCACCCCCACACTTTCAATAACTACAGTGTCTCCTCATCAGAGGAGAAACCAATCCATGAAGCTTAGCACCTCAATGCCCTCATGCAATGGTCTTTTCCAGTCTTGTATTCCTTGAAAGGACCAAGATTGTCCTTCCAAACACCCCTCAAGTCAGACAGGTCTCTCTTCACTGTTTCTCTTCTTTAGAAGCACAGAATTAGGCACATAGTAGGGCACAAAAATACTAAATCATCAAAATTGGAATACCTCAATACATTCTAAAAAGTAGAAATAGTACATGACAAAACAAAAATTGCAAATTACTTATAAATAGTAATAATAGAAACAATCAGCATCAAATCCAATGTTATATGGCCAAAGATGAGTTTAAAGGAAATTCATGGTTCTCATATCTGCCTAACAAAAAGACTGAAAGTAAATTTAGTTATAACTCACAGACTAAGAATTGTAATTGATGGAGCAAAAAGCAAAGTCACTATATCATAGTGTTATAGTATACTTCCTTGAGTAAAAGGCCTGAATCCCCCTCCGCCATCAGCATTTAATACAGACTCAAGAGAGTGGGAATTTCTTTATTGTTCACCACTATATTACATCACTAGAAAAGTTCTTGGTACATTACCAACACTCCATAAATATTTATTTAGTGAATGAGTAACATACAACCTGCACTGTGCTAAGTATCTGACATGGCTTATCCCATTTAATCCTCCTAGCAACTCTGTCAGGTAGACAGTATTATTATCATCCCTTTTTTACCATAAGAAAAATTGAGGCCAGCCATGGTGGCTCACACCTGGAATCCCAGCACTTTGGGATTTGCCCGAGGTGGGCAGATCACTTGAGCTCAGGAGTTCAAGCCCAGCCTGGGCAAAACCTGGTGTCTACTAAAAATATAAAAATTAGCTGGGTTTGGTAGCACAGCCCTGTAATCCCAGCTACTGGGGAGGCTGAGACAGGAGAATCACTTGAACCTGGGAAGTGGAGGTTACAGTGAGTCAAGATTGCACCACTATACTTCAGCCTGCGTGGCAGAATGACACTCTATCAAAAAAAGAAATTGAGTAACAGGATGATTACTTCAATTGTCCCAGGTCCAGGTCCAAGATCACAATTAGTAAATGTGGGAGCCAGGATTCAAACTCAAGCAGCTTAGCTCTTGAACACACTCACTTAACCACTAAGCCATACTACTTCCCTAGCAGTCTAAGTAAGTCAGGATTCCCAGCACAGAAGTTCTGAGACAAAGTAGATCAATGGAGGATACATCAGCCCTCTGGAAAGGAGGGGCCTCAAGGATTTGGATGACTAGCAAACCTGAGAGGTGTGAATATATTCCTGACTTGACTCAGTCCTCCTCACCATCCCCATTAAAACTGATATGCTTTATTCTCCATTTTTCCAGAGCCCTGCCAAGTGCCTGGGTGATTTAATGTGTTATTGTATACTAAGGCTTACCCAGCTACCTGGCTCCAGAATGACCTTGCCCACCTCCGAGAATCTGCAGCTGATTGGCTTCTTCCCTTCACTTGACACCAATCACTCATCATTTTGTACTATTGGCTAGCCTTACTTGCGTAAATGTCTGATCTCTGTAATTAGATTGTTTCTTCAAATGTGAGGCAAAAATCTAATGCTCAGTGGTTTTCGTGTTTCTCTCATCAGTAGTTAACCCAGTGCCTAGTACATGATGGGTGAAATATAAATGTTTGCTGAGGAAAATGAAGGAGTTAAGTGAATTTTCTAGAAAAGCACA